TAGAGTGTATCCAGCGTAATTTACTTTAAAAAAATATACTCAGGATTATCATTTCGCTCATTTATAGTACTGTGATTTATTTATTTATTATATATTTGTTTTTGGCTACGCTGGTTCTTCATTGTCGTGCACGGGCTTTCTCTAGTTGCGGTGAGTGGGGGCTACTCTTCGTTGCAGTGAGCGGGCTTCTCATTGCGGTGGCTTCTCTTGTTGCGGAGCACGGGCTCTAGGCGCGTGGGCTCAGTAGTTGTGGCGCATGGGCTTAGTTGCTCTGCATCAGGTAGGATCTTCTCAGACCAGGGCTCGAACCCGTGTCCCCTGCATTGGCAGGCGGATTCTTTTTTAGTGGGGAAAGAGGAGAGAGGGGAGGAGAGGGGAAGGGAAGGGACGAGAGGAGGGAAGGAGGGAGGAAAAAAAAGTGTCTCCAGTAGGCGGATTCTTAACCACTGTGCCACCAGGGATGTCCCAGTACTGTGATTTAACAGGCTGATTATCTTAAGTACTCTTGGAGTATACTAAACACAGGGATACCAAAACAACTCAAAATTCTGTCTGCTTTTAGGTTTACTTTTCCTTTATCACTAACAGCTTTATACCAAAAGCTATCTCAAAACAGCGCTGGTGGCGCAGTGGTTGAGAGTCCGCCTGCCGATGCAGGGGACACGGGTTCGTTCCCCGGTCCGGGAAGATCCCACGTGCTGCGGAGCGGCTGGGCCCGTGAGCCATGGCCGCTGAGCCTGCGCGTCCGGAGCCTGTGCTCCGCAACGGGAGAGGCCACAACAGTGAGAGGCCCGCGTACTGCAAAAAAACCCCCCAAAAACCAGCAGATTCTCAAAAACGAAAAAGATTGATGATGACTCAGAAGTGTACATATATGACTGGGCAGAAGAAAACTTCAACATCTCCATTGCTACAGAACTTCTTTGCAATTAGCTTGCAGAACTTGATTCTCCTCAAACTGTTGTGATTGCTCTGCATATCTTATAAATTATTTACACCCTGATGGTACAAAATGGTAATGGCACCTCTGGCTCCACATGGTATCAAGAACTTTAATAATTCATCTTTTATTACAGCTACATCCCTGTAGATTAGCATGAGTGGGAACTGAGTATAACACTGAGCTAATAAGTAAGGCCTTCTCAGAGAGACCTTTACTCTCCAAACATCGTATCCATATATATTCAGATATTAGCCTTGTTAAAAAATAAAGATTATTGAGTGTTAAAACATAGACTCTTTAGGTTGTGTTTGTCAAGCATTAGATTACTTCAACTATTTAAGTGCATTTTAAAGATATTTCAAGGGGAAAATCTTTGAAAGACATTCTCCATTTCAGGACTTGCACTTAAAAAACAAAAACAAACAGATAAACTAGCATTAGTTTATGTGAACTAAATGAAATTAATGACTGGCCACTGGCAAGAATAGAGACTTTCATTTTGAAAATTATTCAGATTCTTAATATAAGACTTTTACATCTGATATTTGAAGTCTTCGAATTTATCTTCTTCAGCCTTTTTGGACTACTTTAAAAAAATAAATTGGAATTTCTTATGGAGAGCAAGAGTGTGTCTGTGTACCTTCGTATACCCATGTCATTAAATGCCAGAGTGAAATTTAGATATAAAAGAAAATTAATTTACACATTTTTCAGTGAAGGATAGTAGTTGAGTTGACGTTGAATTTATGTTTACCATTTTGAAGTGACTCCACAGAGTACTACAAATGTTGCTTTCAAAAAAGACAAAAAGTTTACTAAAGTTGACAGTGGTTGTAACCTTAGCACAGTGTCTGGCACATGGTTCAGTAAATGCTTATTGCATGAATACCTGGTGATCAGATCAATCCATATAATTCTAGTTACACATCTGGTATCTTGAGAAAACAGCTATACGATTTATACTAGTTGCTTTCTATGATAGTACCACTTTGGGAGTGTATTTCAGCTCACTGTTAGTGTTTTTTAATCTGTTCAATGTGGATTTGTTGCAGAAAAGTCCAGAGAGCCTCATTATATGCGGTTCTGACCTGTGAAGCATAATTCTTTTTTTTTTTTAATTAATTAATTAATTTATCTTTGGCTGCGTTGGGTCTGTGTTGCTGTGCGTGGCCTTTCTCTAGTTGTGGCAACCGGAGGCTACTCTTCATTACGGTGTGCAGGCTTCTTATTGCGGTGGCTTCTCTTGTTGTGAAGCACGGGATCCAGGCGTGTGGTCTTCAGAAGTTGTGGCACGTGGACTCAGTAGTTGTGGCTCACGGGCTCTAGAGCACAGGCTCAGCAGTTGTGGCACACGGGCTTAGCTGCTCCACGGCATGTGGGGTCCTCCTAGACCAGGGCTCAAACCCGTGTCCCCTGCATTGGCAGGTGTATTCTTAACCACGGAGCCACTAGGGAAGCCCGAGGCATATATTCTTCTTTTTAAAAAATAAATTTATTTATTTTATTTATTTTTGGCTGCATTGAGTCTTTGTTGTTGCACGCAGACTTTCTCTAGTTGTGGCGAACAGGGGCTACTCTGTGGCAGTGCGCAGGCTTCTCATTGCAGTGGCTTTTCTTGTTGTGGAGCATGGGCTCTAGGTGTGCGAGCTTCAGTAATTGTGGCACGTGGGCTCAGTAGTTGCGGCTCGCAGGCTCTAGAGCGCAGGCTCAGTAGTTGTGGTGCACGGACTTATTTGCTCCATGGCATGTGGGATCTTCCCGGAGCAGGGCTGGAACCCATGTCCCCTGCATTGGCAGGCGGATTCTTAACCACTGTGCCACCAGGGAAGCCCTGAGGCGTATATTCTTAAGACAGCATTAGTCTGTAGAGAGGCTCCAAATTATTTCAGGTAACTTTTGGATTCCATCAAAAAGCGTTAGAGGTTTTTCAAACATACAGAGAAAATTATTCTTTCACCCAGAAGAGACAGTGGACAGTTTTCACTGATCCTGAATATATAGTGGTTTATACTATGTATAAGTTAAGTTTAATCTGATTGCTTTCGATTTCTTTAATAATGGTTTTCTTTAAAACTGATTATCTGGTCGTCATTGACATCCATGAGAGAAATATAGGGGATAGTACAATCAAAAGTTATACTGCCAAGGAGGTTAGGGTTTGGAAAGGCATTAGAGGCACTGATTAAAATGAAAGCCCTTAATTTGTAAAAGGAAAATTCCAGAAAGCATGAGATGTAGAAGTGAATGATGCTGTGGTAGCCTACTATACAGATGATATTAGCTCTCTGTTTGCCAGACCAGCCACCTTGCAGTAGAATATGGAGTATCTAACTTAAATTAGAGCAGTCTCATTTCTCCTTAAGTTGAAACACCACAGTAAATAAACATCCTTTCACTCGTGTGAAATTCTATGTTTGTTGTTCGGTAGCAAGTGTGAATTGGATGACAGTATCTGCATATAAGATTTTTATGTAGAGTGAATTCATGTTTTTCTCTCTTAACATTTCCCAACACACCCCTTCATTCATGAGTGTGCTTGAGCTGATACCTGGTGCCATATATCTTAGAATAAAGGTTTTAGAACTGTGTGAAAAAGTGACAGTTTGATCTAACCTTAGTTATATTATGGTGTAAATTAAGCTCTTAAATGAAAGTGGCTAGGTTTTACAGATGGACAGACACAAAACTAGCTGAGAACAAATTGTTGTGCTGTGATAGAGACATCGTTCAAAACTGCATGCATCTGTCAGCTGCCCGTGGTGGTACAGTGAGATAAAGTGATCTGTAATGTTTCTCTAGTGTATCCCTATTGCTAGCCATATTGTAATGTGTAATACATCTCTTGGGCAGACAGCTTGTGTGGGCTAGATTCCACCTCAGTCTTGAAAAGATGCCGGAAAGCAGCAAGGTGAATTTTTAAGCCTATTTAAATATTTAGACTCATGACTAATTTGAGTGAAATCTCTGCTGTATCTAATAAACTACTCACTAGAAGTGAGATGGAATTTCAAGTTTTTGACTTCCTCACTTATTAGCTGTGTGACCTTGGATTGACAAATTATTAATCTCTGTCTGTTTCTGTGTCTGGAAAGTGAGGATTGTAAAAGTATTTGCCTCATAAAGTTGTTGTGTGGGCTTAGGCAGATTTATATGTATAAAGTGCATAGAAGAGTGCCTGGCACTTAATAAATGTTAGCTGCTGCCACCACCGCCACGATCATCATTAACATAACTTGGAGTGAGATGAATTTCCCTTCCCTGAAGCTAGATTGCTTTTTTTGCTTTTAAGGAAGACTACATCTCTATCAAGGATGTGGTCAACCCCAATTCTAATACAGAAGCTCACTGTCTTGACTTGTGAAATCTAATCCATCTTCAAGTTTATCTACAGCTAAAGTGTAATATATATTCTATATTATGTAAAGTATATATTACTTTAGAAGTATATATTACTTTATATTATGTTACTTTAAAAGTATATATTTCTTTCAAAAGTATGTAAAGCATACTGCATTATAATAAAGTGTAACAATCACTGGAAGGGATAAAGAAACTATAATATCTCTGTGGAGTGGTCTACAAGATGTGTTGTTAGCTGAAAAAACCAAGGGGCAAAATAATGTGTAAATTATTCTACCATTTGTGTAAAACTTTTCTGGTACCTGCATAAAGTATCTGACAGGCTGTAAAAGAAATGGTATATTTTCACTTGTTGCTGTTGGGGAGGGAAATTGGATGGCTGGAGACAAGGGTGGGAGACTTTTTACTGTATATCCTTTTATACTTTTTGATTATTGAACCATGTGAATGTATTTCCTAGTTAGTAAAAACAAAAACAAAAAACCCTCATAAAAAGGAGAAAGTAAAAGAGCTATTTTGAAATCTACATAAATTTTTATTCATCAGTTATAAACATTTCTTTTTATCTGTACTACTTAAATTCACATTTGATAGGGCTTTTAGATTCCTATTTTTGTTTCGTTTTTTGTTTTTTTTCCTTTCCTTTAAGTGTGCTTTCCAGAGCTAAACTAAGAATTATCTCTTATCCTCCATTTAGGGATTTGAGTCATAATCGGTTGTCTAACTGGAACATAAGCTTGGAATCTCAAACATTACAAGAAGTGTAAGTTATTTTTATTTATTTAAACTTACATTAAATTCTTTGAGGTGATTTGATGAATTATGAATTTCAGGATGTTTAATGAAAAAATGTCAAAAAATTGAAGGAAAGAAAACTTTAGATTAAAACATGTTTAAAAGCCTAAACTTGTCTTTGGCTTTGTTAGTATCACAAACTCTCTGGGTATTATGCCATTGCATTGGTGATTTCAAGTAGTAAACTGCGTAGAAATACTATTCTACTTCCTTGGGGCCTAAAGTAAGATTTTCCCTCTTCAGAGTGAATATATTTTATTTTTTTTTTGCCAGAGTTTCAGCCAGTGAAACTCTGTATTGTGCAAATTTTTTTTTTAAATGTTTTGACTTGTCTAAGGTGGAAGCTTCATGTCTGAAGTAGGTTTATATGAAATACAATATTTTTGGTATCACCTGGAATATGGTAGTTAATATAATTCAGTTTTCCTCTTCATTGAAGTTTTTCCTTTAGTACTGAGATGTATTATTATATAGTTTCTGGAGAGAAGTTTCTAAAATATTATTAATATCAGTTATTGCATTGTGGTATTCCCAGAGGCACAACTGTTGAGGCCTGTTTACCTCTATACTAAACACCCTCAGAATCCTCAGATGAATTTTTCTTTTGAATTTCTTTCTGACAAGGGGTACTTTGTGCTCTCATTTATTCTGCATTCTTTCCTTCCCTGCCTCAAATTGGCTGCCCCTAATCTGCTGTGGACTGAATGAACAATTGACAAGCTTATTAGCTGAAAGCGTAGGTCCTGAGGAAAGGAAAATGCTCAGTGGGAAGTGCATGGCTTTATTATTTATTACATGGACTTTGTAACTTCAGTTGATTACTTGGAGGCCTTTTACTTCTGGCTTCTTTTCTGTATTCTAGATTGTTGAGGTTGTTCAGTGATTGAAAAACAGGTTGGTGAAATGTGATTGCATTAGATTTGCTACTAAAACAATTGAGATAATCTGTTAGGTCTGTGGTCTCAAGCAACTTTCCCTAACTTTGAGTAACAAAAAAATATGTGTGTGTGCGTGTGTATTTTAAAAATTTATTTAATTAACTTATATATAAATTTATTTTATTTATTATAAATAAATATATATAGAGAGATATGAATTGTTCTTTCTTTGTTTAAGAAGGACTTAAATTAGCTGTCATAAAAGTATTCAAATAACCTTGCTGGGATTAAAAATATTTAATGTGCAAAATATTTCCTAACCTTTCTAATATTGGTATCAAATCATATATCTATACCATGAAAACATTTTTTTATTAAAATCTCTAATTTCTCAGTAGAAAATATTTAGTCTAACTCATTCTGGGTCATAGGCTTTTTTTGAATTTGGCATTTATCCTAAAGAATATGTACTAGCCAGAAACTAGAACTCGAGGTAGCATTTCCCTCACTAAATTCTTATATCTATTTTTCCCCCTACTCAGGAAAATGAATTATAATGAGCTAACTGAAATCCCATATTTTGGAGAACCAACCACTAATATTACTCTTCTCTCATTGTAAGTAAATAAAATTTCAGGTCTTTTACTTAAATTATGCATAGTACACAGTTTTTTTTTGTTTTAGGTACCCTTGTTGTTGATCCTAATTATTTAACATTTTTGTGGTTTAGGGTGGATCACTGGCAATAGCTTCAATATAATCTTTGTTTTATAGAGTCCATAATATAATCCCAGAAATAAATGCAGAAGCGTTCCAGTTTTACCCTGCTCTCGAGAGTTTAGATCTCAGCTCAAATATAATATCAGAAGTCAAGACATCTTCATTTCCTCGAATGCAGCTTAAATACCTGTAAGTAAAATAGAGTTTAAACTAGATTTAATTTGAAGTGCATGTTTATTATTCATTGATATTTATCTTCCCAGATATGTCTTATTTATTGTGATTTTGATATGCTTATGTGAAACAAACGTAGGTTAGTATTTTTTGGTTTTTTTTTCCTGCCCTTAAAGAGTACACTATTTTCAGAAAATATTAAGTATCCAGGGTAATTTTTGAGATTTAATTCTGGATTGTGTTTTACTGAGTCATGTAAAAGGTAAATGGGAGTAGTTTGTTAAACAGTGCTTAACCTGTGTAATGGTGGTGATAATTAGCGTGAGTGCGTGTTTTACAGTTTACAAAGCATATTCACACATACTGTTTCAACCCAATGAAGTAGGTATTATCCTCATTTTGTACTTGAAGAAACAAAGCAGTTAAATGATTTGTAAAGTTGCATAGGGTTGCTAAGTGGTAGAGCTGGGGCTCAGTCATAGACTTGAGGCAGCTTTACAGTGGTAGAATGTTTAGTTTCACTGAATTTTTTTTTGTTGTTATCTTGTTCATTTTAGGAATTTGAGCAATAATAGGATAACCATCTTGGAGGCTGGTTGCTTCGATAATTTGTCAAGTTCCTTATTAGTGGTAAAGTTAAACAGGAACAGAATTAGCATGATTCCACCCAAGATCTTCAAGCTACCTCACCTCCAATTCTTGTGAGTAACTAAATAAATGGATTATAAGAAGATTGTTTTTTCTTATAGTGTCTCTTTCTTTTTATTATTATTAGGGCAAATCAGCAAGCCAATTTTTTGACTGTAAAACTATTTCTGTTAAAGGGAACTTAAAAGAAACAGGATTAAAGTTGTGGAAGGTCTCACATTCCAAGGTCTAGACTCCTTAAGATCTTTGAAAATGCAGCGGAATGGAATTAGCAAACTCAAGGATGGAGCTTTTTTTGGCTTGGATAACATGGAAGAATTGTAAGTACTATGGACTAGAATAGGAGATTGTTAGGAAGGGAGTCTGGGGCTTTTCAGTCCCGAACAGCTAGGTTAGTAGCTTTAATTATAACAAAGTACTTTAGCTCTTCCTCCCTTCTCTTACGTGAAATAAATTAAGATTTAAGCTTTGTTATCTAACTGGTATTTTTGTCATCATTCTTCCAAACATTTCATCTGAAAAGTTTATATTCCCTTAATGTTTGGCTGATGAAAATTATTAGGATTTATCCAGAAAAGGTATACTATATCTCTTGGTGAGTTGATTTTATAGATATGATATTTTAGACAGTCTTACAGGCTTCTTGCACTAAATCTTAAGAAACATGTACATATTTATGAATAGAATTTGTCTGCTCACTTGGGTTGAGCAAAGGTATATGCCTCTCTGTGCAAGACTTAATGAAGATTTTTGGAATCTTCTCATTGCATGCCTTTTTTTTTTTTTTTTTTAAAGATTTAATTTTATTTTTGGCTGCGTTAGGTCTTTGTTGCTGCACGCGGGCTTTCTCTAGTTGTGGCGAGCGGGGGCTACTCTTCGTTGCGGTGTGCAGGCTTCTCATTGCGGTGGCTTCTCTTGATGTGGAGCACGGGCTCTAGGCATGTGGTGTTCAGTAGCTGTGGCTCACAGGCTCTAGAGCACAGGCTCAGTAGTTGTGGTGCACGGGCGTAGTTGCTCTGCGGCATGTGGGATCTTCCTGGACCAGGGCTTGAACCCGTGTCCCCTGCATTGGCAGGCGGATTCCTAACCACTGTGCCACAAGGGAAGTCTTGCATACCTTGTTTTGAAACATATTTCCTCCTTTCTTTCTCTAATTCTGCAGAGAACTGGAGCATAATAACCTTACAGAAGTGAACAAGGGGTGGTTGTACGGCTTGCGAATGTTACAACAGCTCTATGTGAGCCAGAATGCTGTTGAAAGAATCAGCCCTGATGCATGGGAGTTCTGCCAAAGACTGTCTGAACTGTAAGTGTGAGATGGCATTTCAGTGGAAGCTGTGAGACTAGAGCAGATTGAATAAGTCATTCCCATGGCCAGTAATGAGATCTAATATCCCTCTTTATTAGAAGTTTGAAAGCCCTAAATTTATCATGTAAATAGAATAAAAATATGAAAGTTGAACTAGAAGAGAGTGAATTTTTTACCTTCCATGTTTCCCGTTTTTAGTGATTTGTCCTATAACCAGTTGACCCGCCTGGATGAATCTGCTTTTGTGGGTCTGAGCTTACTGGAGAGATTGAACTTAGGGGACAACAGAGTCACTCACATTGCTGATGGTGTATTTAGGTTTCTTTCCAATCTTCAGACACTGTAAGTATATCTGTCCTTTTTGGGGATTTTTTTCTTTTACTAATTTTTTTTAAAGCACTAAAGCAAAACAACTAATCAGTGTACATATTATGTATGTTAATATTTTGCAGTTCTTCTCTCCTATGCCTTGGGGCAAGACAGTCTTGCTTATCTCTATCCCTATATGTAAATTTTATGTATCTCTAGTCATTTCAGTTTGTACTTTAATTCTGAGTTAACTAAACAACAAAGCATCTCTTATTGTGCCAGTTACTGTGGAATAAAATACAGTTGCTAGTGTCAGGAATGCACATTTTCTTACTCCTCTGACCTTGAATTACCAGTAGTGTACCAGATCTACCACTTCTCATTCAAAAGGATGCAGGACATATAGTGGGAACAGCTCTGGCAGGAGACCTCTTCACTGTTACCAGTTTGCTGGATGACTTTGGACAGAAAAAACTAACATTTATTAATGATCTGATATGTGCCAGGTGCATTCAGAGTACTGAGATATTATTGCTCTTTTCCATATTGAGAGACTGAGGTTCAGAGAGATGAAATGATTTGTTTAAACTCATATACCTTGTAAATGTTTGGGCCAGATTAGAACACAGGTCTTTTCCCAGGTCTTTTTTATACTAAAGCTCATGTGATTTTTAAAAAAAAATAAATTTATATATTTATTTATTTATTATTTATGTATTTTTGGCTGTGTTGGGTCTTTGTTGCTGCGTGCGGGCTTTCTCTAGTTGCAGTGAGCGGGAGCTACTCTTTGTTGCGGTGCATGGGCTCCTCATTGTGGTGACTTCTCTTGTTGCGGAGCATGGGCTCTAGGCGTGTGGGCTTCAGTAGTTGTGGCACGTGGGCTCAGTAGTTGCCGTGCGCGGGCTCTAGAGCGCAGGCTCAGTAGTCGTGGCGCACGGGCTTAGTTGCTCCACAGCATGTGGGATCTTCCCGGACCAGGGCTCGAGCCCGTGTCCCCTGCATTGGCAGGCGGATGCTTAATCACTGTGCCAGCAGGGAAGTCCCTCATGTGCTTTTCATTTTACTGTCAGACGAACAAAATCACTTTGCCTTTCCTGTTTTTTTTTTATTTATTTTTTTTATGTCCAGTGAAGGATGGATATAGGATTAGATGGTTGCAAAAGGCAGTTTCAACTCTAAACTTCTGTTGTTCTGTAAGTTGAATGTTTTACCCTGATCATGGAATATAATTGAATGAAGAGGTATTTTAATGAAATATAGTAATCTCAAACATAGAGCAGAATAAGAGAAAAAGAGTAATTAGTAGAATTTGTAGATTCTTAAGGTTCCTGAATAGGGGACATTTTTAGTCATCAGGTTTAGTTGTTAAATGGTCTCAGAAAAGAGGCAGGTTCCCAACTTTGAGACCTAACCATAAGTGACAAAGAAAGCATGATAATTTTGTGAAGGTGTCTATGTGTGCACCTGTGTGTGTTTGATGTTTTTTTTTTCTTTTTTTTTTAACTTAATGAAGTAGTCCTCCTTTAGATTTGGCCTTGAAAAAGTAGAAGTGATTTCCTTTTTTTAAAAATTTTTTCTCTTTTCTACGTTATCAGTGCAAACTCAGGAATTTATATTAGATGCAGCTGTAGTCTTTTGGCAGTGCATGGCATGGCAGACAGGTTCTTTTAGTACACCACTGATTATTACTTTTAGTATTAAAGTTTAAGAAAATAATTGCAGACATAAATGATTATTTAATGCTACAAAAATAGTTAAGGCAGAATTAGGAACAGATCTGAGATATTCCGGCTTTAGACCAATGCTCTTGCCAGAGTAGATATACTTCTTACTCCCTTTGGTGAGTGAGTTCTATTTATGCTGTTCTGTGGAGGAGAGGGAAAAGTCCTGCAGAGTTGAGCCATCAGTTGTTTCAGTGTTTATTCTTTAGTAAAATAAAATGATCTTTCTTAGCTTTCACTTCAGGTAAAGACATAGCTAAATGGGAAGAGTGATCTCCTATCTCCTTACTGTTATTCACATAACTTTACATATGTCTTTTTTTTTTTTTTTTTTTTTTTTGCGGTACGCGGGCCTCTCACTGTTGTGGCCTCTCCTGTTGCGGAGCACAGGCTCCGGACGTGCAGGCTCAGCGGCCGTGGCTCACGGGCCTAGCTGCTCCGCAGCATGTGGGATCTTACTGGACTGGGGCACGAACCCATGTCCCCTGCATCAGGCAGGTGGACTCTCAACCACTGCGCCACCAGGGAAGCCCTACATATGTCTTATAAAGCAAAAAACTTTGTGCTTTATTATGAGATGACTTAAGGAAGCGAAAGTGATTAAATATCTTTAACTGGTATTTCTTCCATGATGACATGGTGTGGTGCAATTGCATTTCGTCTGAGAATGGAACAGTGGATTTTAAAAGATCCATACTTTTCCTTTTAAAGAAAACAGAGTGATCACTCTAGCACATGGGTATATCATTCTTACTTTCCAGGGGGCATGTTTAATTGCTGTTGAGCTGTGAAGCTCTGTATTGACATTACTTTTTGTCAGCCGTTTTAGATTTAAGGGCTCAGGGGAAGGCTTGGATCACCCCAAAATCCCATTAGTCTGAAATAAGATTTGTAAGCCATACCCCCTGCATCTTGAAATCCTCCTCTTTGCAGGGCCCTGACTATAATTTTTAATATGCTAACACAATTACAGGCTATTAGCTAGGAAGATTAATACTCTTAGCAGGTTGCTTAATTTATTTATCAAGGTCGGCTTAATTCTTAGCTTATGAGAATTAGTTCTTACATGCTTATTTCAGGTATTCTTTAAAAAGAAGAGTTGAGTGTTTATCATAAATAACCTTTACTGTAAGGATCAAAATTAAAATTAGCATTGCTATGTCAGGATGATGCCTGATGGTGTAATTGTCACGTTGACTAACATAACCTGTCTATCCCTGACATTTTCGTAGAAACTTAAGAAACAATGAAATTTCATGGGCCATAGAAGATGCTAGTGAAGCCTTTGCTGGACTCACAAGTCTCACTAAATTGTATGTACTTATGATATTTATGTATGTCTATGAAGGTATATTTTAAAGAACCAATTGTAAATGTGATTGGATTGTGTCTGTTTGCTGTGGCTAGAAAGTCTGAGCCTTCTGGTTCACCCACTAAAGGAATAAGCTTCGTTGTTTATTAAGGTTTTTGTTTTTTGGTTTGTTTTTCATTTTGTTTTTTTGTGGTGGGGCACTTTCTGAAAGAACACTCCTAGTGTCACTTAAAGAGAAGTTATTTATGGAACTAAAATTTTGATTTAAGTAAAAGAAATGCACTGAAACCAGAATTGAACCATGATCTGTTTAATCATGTGAGATTTATGGGTAATTTATCAAGAGAGGATTCTCTCAAGTAAGATTTTAGGTCTTCTCCCATAAGAATGTCTCCCAGACTTCACACTTGTCTGAGTTTCTTTGACTGGATGATCTTTTGCTGAGAAGGGAGAAACTGGGAATGTAATCCAGTTTATTATATGAAAACTACAGTTGTATCTGTGGTCAGGATGGTTATTTATAGATACCTCACTGAGCGCTGACATCTTAATAGACACATTTATTCTATGCTTCACACTGGTTAATAAATGAAGGTTTACAACTTTCTTAAAAATGTATGTTAGGCTTATTTTCGCTCGTTATAGGTAAATGTTTATTTTAATGAATTTAATTTTGTTTAGTGGAGAGCTTTATTAGAAAGGTCTGTTTGTATTTCAGAATCTTACAAGGAAATCAGATTAAGTCAATTACAAAGAAAGCATTCATTGGTCTTGAATCCCTTGAGCATCTGTAAGTATTTTTCAGCCATTTTGCTCAGTATATAAATAATCTTTGCTCTTAGCAGAGGTTTTCATGATCATTTAAAGTGTTTATATAACTTAATTGTAGAAATGGTGACTGGTAATGTTTCATTTCTTTTCATTTCAGAGATTTGAACAACAATGCTATAATGTCTATCCAAGAAAATGCTTTTTCCCAGACTCGCTTGAAAGAACTGTACGTAACTTAAGTCTTTTTTGTCACTAATTAGATCATTATCCACGCTTGTGCTTAAAGTGTGATGAATGTGACCCAGATGTTTCCCAAAGCACACAATTCAGGCAGAAAAAAAGAAAGTGTTAACATTCAGTTATTTTAGTGACTGGATGTAATTTAAAAATAACATTGAAAAGTCCAGAGTGTGTGGCTCCAAGACCTTCTGTTTTTTACCTGTGTTGTTTACCTTAGCAACGCTGCTTATGCTTTATGTTTACCCTACTGTTCCTTTTTTATTCCCCTCGTCCTTTTTGGACTGTTGGAAACATGTGTTCTCTTGGGGTGAGTTACAATTAAGGTATTGTGTAATTTTTGGAGGTGATCTAGCACTTTCAGTATAATGGTCACAGAGGATGTCTCTAATCTGTTCAAACTACTAAAATGTTCCAAAACTGTTGAATAGTTATGATAGAAAAATACATATCATTTTAACGTTTTTTCATTCATGATTTAAAAAAAATTGTTCTGATTTCCAGGGGGGATTTCCCAGGGGTGGGGTGGTTAGTTGGGCCTTGCTCTTAATTTTAAACTCTGGTGATTTGGATATTGAGCCACTGGTAAGAGTCAACGGGCTATATCAACTTATCTTGCCTTGCCTGAAGGCTATTCAAAGGGAGGTCTGTGGACCAGAGCTGATTCATGACGAGGGAAGGGTAGAAATTCAGAACAAGCTTTTTAGAAACTTATAGAACAATTTGACCTTACTGTGACACTTCTGTTGAATGTTATAAAAGTATTGATCTATAACAGATTGGGAATTTAAAGAACTGGTCCTTCTCCACATATAGTTTGAGATGCACTGGAAGTATGTGAGTTCATATTGCCTAGGTTTAGATTCTTGCCCCATTCTTTACAACTGTGTGTTTAGCCTAGGACTCATTTTCCCTTCTCAGTATGGGAAGAGCACCACCCTCAGGCTTATGTGAAGATAAAATGAGATAATTTGTTTATGGAAGAAATGTTTATTGTCATCTGCTATGTAAGGTACTGTTCTAAATGCTAAAAACGTAGTAGTGAACAAGACAAAGTCTCTGTCCTCATAGCATATTACAGTAAATTCTTTTAGGAAGATAAATAGTAAACCAGTAGGTATATAATATCTCATCAGATAATAAATGTTCTGAAGAAAAAGCTGGGTCAAAGGTGTACAGCGTGACAGGGATTGCTATTTTGAAGTAGTAAGGGAAGGCTTTTCTGAAGATAACAACCTTTGAGCCAGGCCCTTAGTGAGATGAAATGGTAAATAAACCATTTTATACTGGGCGAAGGGCATTCCAGGCACAGGGAAGAGCAAGTGAAAAGGCCCTGAGGAAGGAGCTTGCTTTTTGTGCCTGAAGAACAGCAGAGACACTGTTGCGGCTGGAAGACAAGAGCAAGGGGAAGAATGGTAGGAGATGAGGTCAGAGACATAAGCAGGCCTGATCATGTAGGGCCTAATAGGCCATGAGGAGTTAGGACTTTTTTCCCCCTAAGTGCATTAGAAAGCTTTTGAGGGTTTTGAGAAGCTGCTCCACACAGAGCCTGGCATATAGTAAAAGGTGAATAACTAAGATAATAACAAAAGTTAAAATGTTATGGAGATCATCTTTTGTTATTTTCTGCCAGATTTAAAAAAAAATAAATTTATTTACTTATTTTTGGCTGCATTGGGTCTTCATTGCTGCACACAGGCTTTTCTCTAGTTGCGTTGATTGGGGGCTACTCTTTGTTGTGGCGCGCGGGCTTCTCATTGCGGTGGCTTCTCTTGTTGTGGAGCACGGGCTCTAGGCACGTGGGCTTCAGTAGTTGTGGCGCACGGGGTCAGTAGTTGTGGCTTGCGGGCTCTAGAGTGCAGGCTCAGTAGTCGTGGCGCATAGGCTTAGTTGCTCCTTGGCATGCGGAATCTTCCCAGACTAGGGCTCGAACCTGTGTCTCCTGCATTGGCAGGTGGATTCTTAACCACTGTGCCACCAGGGAAGTGGTCTGCCAGATTTTTAAAGTGGCTTGCTTATTTATTTATTTATTTTGTTGGTCTCTTGATATATTTTGAGTTATTTCTCCTAAGGCTTACTTTAACTTGAAAAGGGACAACTTACTGCATATCAGTATTACCTTTTTTTGGTTGTGGTAATCTGAGGGCCAGCAAGAAAGTTTTAACTCCTGTTAAGAGAAATCAGTTTAAAATGTAATTTTTATAGTAGGTGAAAGCAAATATCATAGTTTCATTCTTCAGAGAGTCATTTGGTGATTTTTTGAGTTGGTTTGAACAAGCTGCTAATGCAGGAACTCTAATGCAGCTTATTTACTGAGAAGTTTTAGTTGCTCTTGGTTACTTTAAATTTAAGTCATATTTATAATACAGAGTTTCACATCAACCTTTATTAAAGTATCTCTTAATACCTTTTGGTATCCTTCACAGTGCTTTGCATAAATATTGGGGGGAGGTGGGAGAGTCAAATATGATTTAAAAATTGTTTTGCATTAAAATTATGTAATCATGGTAGAAAATCAGATAGTTAAACCAAGAGGGAGAGAAAGACCCCAAATCCCCAGTACTCAAAAGACAACCACTGTTGATATTTGGTATATATCTATCCATATACTTGCGGAGAGAATGCAGGATATATTCCATTAGGTACAGCAGAGTTCATTAGCATGTGAAGGGTGGAAAGATGCAAAAGAAACAGAAGTGAAGGGAACTAATGTGAATCTTGTGGTATCTGTGGCCAGACACTATGCTAAATGCTTTATTTAAAAAATTTTTTGAGGTAGGTGTTCTTAATCCCACTTTCCAGGAAGAGAAACTGAGATTTTGGAGGCATTCAGTATCTTGCCTAAGGTAAGTAGTGGAATTAGGATGTAAGTCCATGTCTCATGAGGTAACTTATATTATATCTAAGAAAGCATAAGTTAGACCATATCATTCCTCTGTTCTTAACCTTCCGGTGTCTTCCCAGCGCACATAGGAAAAAAACAACTCAGGTTCTTTCCTTAGTTTATAAAGCACTTGCACGGCCTGGTCCTTCCTGCCCATCTCTCTGACCTCATTCCCGTCACTGTCCCCTCACTTTCTGTGCTCTGGCTTCAGTGGCCTCCTTGCTTTTAACACTAAGCACACTAAGTATCTGCCTCAAGGTCTTTGTGCATAGTTTCCTCCGTCTGTGACACTCTTACCTCAGATCTTCATGTGATTTGCTCTCTCGATTCTTTCAGGTCTTTGCCCAAATGCCATCTCTTCAAAGAATCTTTCCCTGACTGCTTTATCTAAACTGGTAGCTGCTGTCTCTATGTCTCTGCCCAGCTTTGTTTTTCTTGACAGGACTTAACTTTCTGACACTATACTTTGCATTTGTTTGTTTATTGCTTGGCTCTAAATACATAAGCTTTGTGAGAGCTGTAGTGCGACAGACTAGAACAGTGCCTGGCATATAGTAGACTCAAATATTTCTCGGTGAATGAATGCATATAACATAAGAATTCTGAAATGCAAAAAGGTAACTTTTGGCCTGCTTAATTAAAATTGCCCTTGATAAAGTGTGGCTTTTGGGGTACCCTTAAAGACTGTTTGAAACTTCTTTGGAATCAGGTCTTAGGTATTTTTGTACCAAACTTTAAAATTACTTGAGGGTTTTGGTGATGCATGCAAAGCAGGTTATAATGTTGTCAAAATCACTTGCTTTCCCTGCTTCCAAGTGGGTGAGACATTTAAGGGTCATTAAAATAAAACACTGACTTTTCACGTATATTTTATAGGCCTATTATAACCACAAACCATTTTTCAGTGGTTCTTAGTTTAGGTTGCAGTACACATTGCCACAGGGCTGAAATGTTTTTAGTCTTGATGAAATAATTTGAAAATAATTATATCCTCTCCACAACAAAGATGTCTCTATGTCCCAATATATAGTAAGCGCTTCCCCAAATTTCTCTGGGAAAAATTTTAAACGTCAAAAGTTTAAAGAACAGTACAATGAACATCCATATGCCATTTACCTGGATTCATCAATTGTTAACTCTTTGCTAAATTTGTTACCTGTTGCTCTCCCTCCCTCCTTCCTTCTTTCCCTTTCTCTCTCCTTCTGTCTCTCTCCCTCTTTCCACACACACTCATATACATATATACATACACTTATTATTTTGCTTAACCAGTCGAAAGTAAGCTACAGACATTATGACACTTCACTCCTAAAATATCTCAGCATGTATTTCCTATGCAGGGTTGTTTTCTTATATAACCACAGCACTATTATCACATCCAATGAAATTAACATTGATAAAATAATATTATCTAATATGCAGTCCATACTGAGATTTCCCTAATGTCCAAAAATGTTCTTTGTGTATATATATTTTCTTAATGAAGGATCACGCTTTACATTTGGTTGTAATGACTCTTTAGTCTCCTTTAATCTAAAATAAATCCCTTACCCTTATTCCCCCCACCCCTTTTATTAGTGTCTTTCATGACACTGTCATATTTGAGGAAACAAGGCTGACATTCTAAATTTGTTTTTTCATGGTTAGATCCAGGTTAAACATTTTTTTGGCAAAAAAAATGCTTAGGTGTGTAGTAAGCTTTTTTTTTTCTCCTCTTAATTTATTTATTTTTGGCTGGGTTGGGTCTTGGTTGCTGTGCATGGGCTTTCTCTAGTTGCAGGGGGCGGGGCCTACTCTTCGTTGCGGTGCGCTGGCTTCTCATTGCAGTGGCTTCTCTTGTTGCGGAGCACAGGCTCTAGGTGCGTGGGCTTCAGTAGTTGTGGCACATGGGCTTAGTTGCTCTGTGGCATGTAGGATCTTCCTCGACCAGGGCTCGAACCGTGTCCCCTGCATTGGCTGGCAGATTCTTAACCACTGTACCACCAGGGACGTCCTGTTTAGTAAGCTTCTAATGCTGGAGAAACTTGGAATGAAAAGTAAAGGGTACTTCTTTGCCTTTTGTTTCTGCAGAATTCTGAACACAAGCAGTTTGCTCTGTGACTGCCATTTGAAGTGGTTGCTTCAGTGGCTGGTTGATAATAAATTTCAACATTCTGTGAATGTAAGCTGTGCACACCCTGAATGGCTAGCAGGGCAAAGCATCTTGAATGTGGATCTGAAAGATTTTGTCTGTGGTTTGTATTTTTGTTTTAATATTTTGTATATTATGCACTTACTATCTTAACAATGGAATTAAAAAAAATTTTAAATAGAACGCTTTCCCACTAGCATATCTATTTCCATTCCTTTAGATTCTTCTCTAACATTTTTATATTGTAATTGTAGCTTAAATTTTGTGTTCTTCGACTTAATATATCATAAGCAGTTTTTTTCCTCTGTGTGTTCTTAAATGATCATTTAAAATACTGTCAGTATAATAGCATCTTTATGAATGTAGGCCTTTCCCTTTTAGGGAGATTATTAACCTTAGAATAAATATCTAGTATTAAGATTCCTGAATCAAAAAGTGTTTTTTTTCATGAATTCATTCAAAAGCATGATTTTATATTTAGTAGATCTTGAAAAGTGCTACCAGGTGTTTTCAAACAGGTAGCACTAGTTTATGTTGTCACCAGCAATGTATGAATGTACCAGTTTCATTTGGTTTCTTTTTTTTGTGTGTGGTACGTGGGCTTTTCACTGTTGTGGCCTCTCCTGTTGCGGAGCACAGGCTCCGGACGCGCAGGCTCAGCGGCCATGGCTCACGGGCCTAGCCGCTCCGCGGTATGTGGGATCTTCCCGGACTGGGGCACGAACTCGTGTCCCCTGCATTGGCAGGTGGACTCTCAACCACTGCGCCACCAGGGAAGCCCGGTTTCTATTTTTGATGCATTTTCCTAAGACAGAAGCAGCAGGGTTTGGGAGTTTTTTGGAGGGGAAGGGGGACAGAGACAAGTTGTCATAGACAAGTTGTCTTGATTCTAGCACTTAATTATAATTTCAAGTATACATCTATATTGTTTTTTCTCAATTTGTAAATTTTTCTTTTACATTTACATTTCCTTTAAAGTAACTAATTCTTAGCTTTACACAGTGAAACTTTTAGATTAGTGTATCTGTGTTGCATATCAGTAGTAACTCTGATCATTTAGATACTTGTATATTGCCAGATGTATTTCCACAGTCTACTTAAAGATGCTTAGGACATTTGGAAGTTCAGGCACATAAAATACTTAAGTTGTTTTTACATACTTTAAGGAAGAAAACAAAGAATCTAGTAATGATTAAATTCTGCTTACATTGCCATGAATGCCCTTCTGACTTTACTTATTTTTAAACATAAGCTTACACCATACAATTTATCTTCTTTTTTTGGTTATCACTTTTATGGCACAGTGAAATGTTACCCAGTGAAGACATTGGTTAAGAATTCATATACTTGCTTCTCTGAATCAGTCCAATAATATATTATTATTTATGAATCTATAGTTTATTAGCCAGTCCTAAGCCAGTCTTCATTTGGACATTTGACATGTTTGGAATTTTTCACTATTTTAGGTTAAAGTTATGCACAAAGTACTTTCAAATAGTATGTTTTATTAATAGGAATACCTATTTTTATATATGTTGTATATACACACAAACACACACATACACATACACACAAGGGGTAATAGAATTAGAGCTTGTTTTAAAATTCTAATTTAGGTTTCTCCTTTTCTCAGTAACTGGTAATACTTAAGAAGTACATTCAAAGCATAAGTGACAGTAAGTGATGGTAGAAAGAGTGCTAAGCCCTGAAGTCTGAAAACCTGGGTTCCAGTCCAGGCTTAGCTGCAGAATTGCATATCTTAGAGCAAGTCATTTGACCCTTCTGGGCATCATTTTCCTCATCTTAAAACAAGGGAATTGGATTCTAGCTCTATAGTCCCTTTCAACCTTAACATGACATTTTGTAAACATAACATGCAATTTTACATTATTTGTTTTAAAATTGAATCTATAGAAGCAAAAATAAATAACTGACTTGGCTTCTGCCCCATTTCTTTCTCCTTAGATGATTTTCTCAAGCCGCAGATAAGAGCCCATCCTGAAACCACAGTTGCTCTAAGAAGCATGAACGTGACTCTGACATGCACTGCAGTGAGCAGCAGTGATTCACCCATGTCTACTTTGTGGCGCAAAGACAGTGAAATCTTGTATGATGCCGATATTGAGAATTTTGTTCATTATCAGCAACAAGCTGGAGAAGCTCTGGAATATACTAGTGTCTTACATCTTTTCAATGTAAATTTTACAGATGAAGGAAAATATCAGTGTATTATTACTAATCACTTTGGTTCTAACTATTCTCATAAAGCCAAACTGACTGTGAATGGTAAGAAATTATGCTCCCTGATAGTTTTGTGGTTAGAAGGATTTTTCATGTTTGATTTTTGAATCTTTGAACCAAGAAAATTAGGATAAACCTGACATTGCGGGGGGAGTCCTTACTGTTTTTGTCTTTAGGGTTATGACAGTATACAGACTGGATTGCTAATTTACCCACTTACTGTCCCTAATCAGTCTTTGACTGAGGGGTAAAGGTGAATTCTGTGGCTCTAGGAGATGGGCTACTTTCACTTTTATTTATGCTTTTGAAACAAAAATTTTTTTTAATTCTCCATTTTCTTTCCAGAACCATAATTCTGTTCTGAAAACTGAAATTTATCCCTGACATTGTTCACAGGCCGTCCAACAACTGGGAGTATTGAGAACATTTCTGGGTCCAGTGATCATTATCATCGTCTAAATGTAGTCACACAAAACCATTTTTGAAAATAATGGCTTGGGCTTCCCTGGTGGCGCAGTGGTTGAGAGTCCGCCTGCCGATGCAGGGGACGCGGGTTCGTGCCACCGTCCGGGAGGATCCCACATGCCGCGGAGCGGCTGGGCCTGTGAGCCATGGCCGCTGAGCCTGTGCGTCCAGAGCCTGTGCTCCGCAATGGGAGAGGCCACTGTTGTGTGAGAGGCCCGTGTAACGCAAAAAAAAAAAAGAAAAAAAAAAGAAAAGAATGCTCTTTTTCATTGTGGCTGTGAAAGAAAAAAACAAAACAGCTTGAGTGATCTATTGCCTGTTAGGCCGAATAACTACAACACTTCAGGCTTTGTGCAACCAAAAGATGTACATATGTCTTGCTCCTGGGTGGTTTTATGAGATGTTTGAAGGCATAAATTTTTTTTATCATGCAGTTTCCTTGACAGCTTTGTAGATGTTTGTTTGGGAAGCACCATTTAGTCTCTTAAGTAAGGGAGTCATAGTAAATATTAAGTTCTAAAATATATGTTCAAAAAGGTTTGTGGCTTCTGCTTTTTCTGTCCCTATCAAGGAGATCAGGTAGATTTGCCACGCATTCTAGAAGAGTTAGTCATCACTGTACTCCATGCTCTGAGGTTCTGGGAGAAAAGATGGCCTCTGAAGTAGTATTTATTGTCAATGCAGGGAGCGTGTCTTCTCAAAGAAATGGAGCATTACAACAGTTGGTATTTTACCTAATAGAGTCTCCCTTGTATGTATGTATGAGTGTATGTGTATATAAATATAAATATATATAAATATATATATGTATATACCCCCCCACCCCACACACACACTTTCTCTTGGTGATCTTTTTTGGAACAGAGATGCCATCTTTTCTGAAAACTCCAATGGATCTAACTATTCGCACTGGTGCCATGGCCAGATTAGAATGTGCTGCAGAGGGGCACCCTGCACCTCAGATTTCCTGGCAGAAAGATGGTGGTACTGACTTTCCTGCGGCTCGAGAGAGACGCATGCATGTCATGCCTGAGGATGATGTCTTCTTCATCGCAAATGTGAAAATAGAAGACATGGGGATCTATAGCTGCATGGCACAGAACATAGCAGGCGGCCTCTCAGCAAATGCTTCATTAATCGTGTTAGGTATGTTTATTGCTCTGTGGGTCCCTGCTTTTGTGGGAGTCTTTTTATTATGGATTGACTCTTGGTCTTAATGGCAAGAATCTGTGTTTGAGATTTTAGTTGGGATTCTTATATCTTTGTTTCCTTGTTCTGCCACTTTATGCAGGGTTATGTCAGCCATATTAGTGGATCAGTTATTAGTGGATCAGTAAACTGAAATCTGGGGAAATTCTGAGGGCAGAATTAGAGATTTTTATCCCATAAATTGAAAATTCAAATCCCTTTGTCCTGTTATGTTTCCCTCTGTAAGTTTTCTACTTCATGTATATGTTTTTTCTACTATTCAGTAGTGAGTTTGCACTTTTATACTGCCTCATATACCTGCTTCACAGAGAACTTGAGACAATGTAACTTTCCCCCCAGTTCATTTTTTTTTTTTTTTAATTATAAGACGAAAAAAATGATCTGTCTTCTGGTTAGATTTCCTGTTTTCCTTCCAGTGTGCTCCTGTTAATCCTATCCTCTGGTAAAATGGCTTTTCCCCATAGATTTCCCCTGATAAGCCAGTTTGTTTTCTTATGAGAACACTTTTCTTTTCTTTTTAAATTGGGGTATAGTTGTTTTACAGTGTTGTGTTAGTTTCTGCTGTACAGCGAAGTGGAGTTCCCTGTGCTATACAGCAGGTTCTCATTAGTTATCTGTTTTATACATATTAGTGTATATATGTCAATCCCAGTCTCCCAATTCATCCCACCCCCCACCCTCTTCCCCCTTTGGCGTCCATACGTTTGGAGAACACTTTTCTTCATGGGACTCAAATTCAAGGTAAATTCTCTTTTCCTCTAGATGTTAGGGTTTTAAAAAATGTGTTGGTTTGTGTAATTACTTGTGTAATCAGAAAAATAAGTTTATTGTTTAAAAAATTTAAGATATGTAGAAAATTAGAAAAAAAGAGGGAAAGTCACTCAGACACTGTTAAAGATTTTGACATATTCTGGACTTTTTAAACACTCATCTTGGGACTTCCCTGGTGGTCCAGTGCTGAAGAGTCCACCTTACAATGCAGGGGATGTGGATTCAATCCCTGGTCAGGGAACTAAGAGCCCACGTGCCTCAGGGCAACTAAGCCTGCGCACCACAACTACTGAGCTCACTTCTCAACTAGAGAACCTGCCTGCCACAAACTACAGAGCCCGTGCTCTGGAACCCACGTGCCACAATTATAGAGCCCGCGCACCCTGGAGCCTGTGCACCACAACTAGAGAAGAGAAAACCCACATGCCACAACTAGAGAGAAACCCACGTGTGTGCTGCAAGGAAAGATCCCGCATGCCTCAGTGAAGATCCCGCATGCCACAGCTAAGACCTGACATAGCCAAAAATAAATTAAATAAATAAATAAATAATAAATCTTTTAAAAACCCCACAAAACTCATCTTGGGACTTCCCTGGCAGACCAGTGGTTAAGACTTGGCCTTCTGGGACTTCCCTGGTGGTGCAGTGGTTAAGAATCCACCTGCCAATGCAGAGAACATGGGTTCGAGCCCTAATCCGGGAAGATCCCACATGCTGCAGAGCAACTAAGCCCGCGTGCCACAACTACTGAGCTTGCGCTCTAGAGCCCGCGAGCCACAACTACTGAAGCCCGTGCACCTAGAGCCTGTGCTCTGCAGCAAGAAGCCACTGCAATGAGAAGCCCATGCACCACAACAAAGAGTAGCCCCAGCTCACTGCAACTAGAGAAAGCCGGCACGCAGCAATGAAGACCCAGTGCAGCCAAAAGTAAATAAATAAATAAATTTAAAGAATTAAAAAGATCAATGAAAGAAATACTTATAAACAAAACAAAAGCTTCGCCTTCCAATGCAGGGGGTGTGGGTTCGATCCCTGGTTGGGGAGCTAAGATCCCACATGCCTCACAGCCAAAAAACCAAAACATAAAACAGAAGCAATATTGTAACAAACTCAATAAAGACTTTAAAAATGGTCCACATCCAAAAAAAAAAAAAATCTAAAAAAGAAAAATAAAACACTCATCTTTATGTGGTTATGTATGCCTACTTTTTTCCACTTAATATTGTATCACAGGGTTACCTTGTCATTAAGTCTTCATGAATATCATGTGGCTGTGGTATAATTTACTTACTCATTTTTCTGCTAGATTTTTAGATTTTTTCCCTTTCCCTTTAAAAATTACAACTAATTTTGTAATAAGCATTTTTGTATATAAATCTTTGAATTCTTTGCTTAGGATAGCTTGCTCAAGGTGGAATTCCTGAGATAAGATTTAGATTTTTTGAGGCTTTTGCTTTTCTGAAACATTAACTTCTCATCCTCCCATGAGCATATGAAAGTGCTTATTTCATCATAACCTAATTAGTCTAATTCAATTAGGAATAAAACTGCCTAATATTTTTTAATGCATTCTTTCTGTTAGAGACACCCTCATTTATTAGACCTCTGGAGGACAAGACAGTAACCCGAGGTGAAACGGCAGTATTACAGTGCATAGCTGGAGGGAGTCCTGCCCCTCGCCTCAACTGGACCAAAGATGATGGACCACTGCTGGTGACAGAACGGCACTTCTTTGCTGCAGCCAACCAGCTTCTCATCATTGTAGATGCTGGGCTAGAAGATGCTGGGAAATATACCTGCATTATGTCCAACACCCTTGGGACAGAACGTGGTCACATTTACCTAAATGTGATTTCAACCCCCAACTGTGACTCTTCCCAGAGTAGCATTGGGCATGAAGACGATGGGTGGACCACAGTTGGTATTGTCATCATTGTTGTGGTCTGCTGTGTTGTGGGTACCTCTTTGATCTGGGTCATTGTTATTTACCACATGAGAAGGAAAAATGAAGACTATAGTATCACGAACACAGGTGAGTGGTACCCGGTTGGCCCTTGTGGCTTATACCTGAGTCAGGAATGTAGTGTAGGATTTGTTGTTAAATATAAAAAACTAAGGAGCTTTGATAATTTATGTGTGATGGAAGAGTTTTACTGTTAAAATGTTGGTGTCTGGTCTACTTCCTTGATGTAATGGAACCGCTC